CACCTCATTATGATGTACTTGGGCCCCAAAAGTCCCAATATAGGAAGGACTTTCAGGCCCAAGTATTCCCTATTTAGGTACATGGACCCTTCGGATTCTTCCCTAAACACCTTGCAGCAGCCCTCAGTGGACCCAGACTTAGGCCTAAACCTTAAGCCCTAAACCCCAAACCCTAAACCCTAAACCCTAAACCCTAAACCCTAAACCCTAAACCCTAAACCCTAAACCCTAAACCCTTAGCCAGCTAAGCTCGAGGTCTGAGCACCTCAGCGATGCAGCAGCCAGAAACACAGCGCTCTGGGTCATCTGCGGCTCACCTCACGGACTGTTCTCTTCTGTTTAGGGTTTAGGGTTTAGGGTTTAGGGTTTAGGGTTTAGGGTTTGGGGTTTGGGTTTAGGGTTTAGGGTTTCGGCTTTTGGGCGGGGGGGAGGGGGGGGGGAAATTGTAGGGTTTGGGGTTTAGGGCTTAGGGCTCGGGTTCGTAGTGTCAAGGGGGTGGGTGCAGGCAACCCGCTGTTCCTAAAGATACCTTGCAACCGAAACCCTCAACCCTCTTCCCCCCCCCCCCCGAAACCTCCCTTGAGGGCGACCCCTAGAAACCTGCAGCTGCGGTTTAGGGCTTAGGGCTTAGGCTTAGGGCTTAGGGTTTAGGGTTTTAGGGTTTAGGGTGTCGGATGCCCTTGGAGGCTCATGGGTACGGTTTAGGAAAGGGCCTGCAACTCGTCAAATATTGCAGGTTGCCGTGACTGGTTCTAACCTTGCTTGGGGTAGATACACTCTACGAAATTAGAACGAAACACATGACCCTTAGAGTTCCTGAACACCGAAATGCTCAGGCCTGTGGCGTAAAGTTTAGGGTTTAGGGCTTAGTGTTCCTACACCTCCTGATCAACCAGATTATGACAGGGTCGTCAGCTAAGGCTCTGGCCAAAAAGGACAGTGCTGATGGTCGACCCGATCTCGCCGCCCTCTACAAAGAAGAACGCGGTTTCAGGGTTTAATGGGGTTTGGGGGGTCCTAAGCCCTAAACCGGAAATTGTTGGATGTTAGGTTTAGGGGTTTAGGGGTACCCTGTTGTGCATCCTGGCTATACCTCCCAAACAGACCGAAGTCTGCCAGGGCCTGCGTGCCAGCAGTCACGAAATCTCAACATACTTGAGATCGCCAATGCAGCCATTTTTGAGGAACTTGTGCAGGGTCGATTTAGGGTTTAGGGTTTAGGGGTTAGGGTTTAGGGTTCAGGGCTTAGGGTTTAGGGTTAAGAGTTTGACCGTGTTGTAGAGGGTCCGGCGCCGAGCATGGGAAGCTGCGATGAGAGGGTCGCCAGGTGTGGGTTCCTCGGAGTTCAGGAAGCATGACAGGCCCGGTCGCGGAACGACCTCTCGCGGAGTTGCCCTAAACCCTCGCTCAACCCTAAACCCGAATAAACCCTAAACCCTAAACCCTGAACCTACCAGTATGGCCACCCGGAAGGACCCGCGCCAGGATCGATCCCAATGTCCTCAAGGGAGGAGTCAAAGGGGAGCAGGAAACCTAGTTCTCCCACCCCTTAAACCTTCCCTTAAGGCCCTTTCAAGGATCGAACTGCACGTCAGGCAGGGAAGTGACCGTCCGAAACCCAAAACTCTTGACCCTGAAGCCCTGAACCACGAATCACGCCAACAAAGTCAGGACCCTCGCCTCTGCCTCCGGCCCGCGACCTTTTGGGAGTTCCGAGCACTGGCGGGTGGAAGGCTACTGCACGGTTATAGGGTTTAGAGTTTGGGTTTTTGGGTGCGTTTGGGGGTTATAGGGTTTGGTTTAGGAATGGTTGGTTTCATGGCCAGGGAAGAGGGCCTCACACTTCTTCGCAGAAGCGCCGTATGATGTTTCCATGAAAATCAGCATCTAGTTCACGTAACAACCTCTAGTGTGTAGGGTGTCTGCTCCAAGCCCTAAACCTTCAGGGCGCATCCCATCCCCCCCGCCCTCCCCCTACGGCCCGCTGGCACGCTGCACACTCTAAACCCTAAACCCTGGACCCTGAACACTAACCCTGAACCCTAAACCCTAAACCCCTAAACCCTAAACCCTAAACCCGTGGGGTGTGGGCCGCCTGCCTGCAGCTTTTATGAGCTGCTGGGACATGAGCTCGGCGCAGGCTCCCACCTTGGCAAGAAACCCTACCTGGGACTCTATTTACCTACAGTTTAGTGGTAGCTGCCCTAGACCCTAAACCCTCCCTAAACCCTACACCCTAAACCCTAATGAACCCTAACCCTAAACTCTGAACCCTGAACCCTGAACCCTGAACCCTGAACCCTGAAGAACCCTAAACCCTAAGCCCTAAACCCTAAACCCTAAACCCTAAACCCTAAACCCTACACCCTAAACCCTACCCTTCATTAGTAGGTATAGCCCATAACACTGCAGGTAAGGAGGGTCCCGGGTAGGCCTAGAGTTCACGATCCCAGGGAGATCTCTCTGAGGGCTTTGGACTTAGGCTCAGGGTGTGTGGTTTGCGGCTGCGGTCTCTATGCTAGGATATAAGAGCCGCCCATAATTCAGAGAATCCTGCCTGGGCTTTTCTTCATGGTCTGAAAAGAAAATATTCGAGGGCCTCAGAACAGGGCAATTCAAAGTCTAAGCCTCCGTTAGCGGTTTAGGCAGTGTTGGTCTACGTCGTGTGCTTCTGCGGCCTGGTGTATAAGGGAACTTGCTACGCGCCTTCGCAAGACGGGAATGGGAAGTAGGCTTGCTTAGGCGGGCCCTAAACCCTAGACCCTAAACCCTCAACCCTGAACCTCAAAACCCTCTAAACCCTCTAAACCCTATAAACCCTATAAACCCTATAAACCCTATAAACCCTATAAACCCTAAATCCTAAACCTCTGGGCACTCCGTGGGCTTCATAGGTCCTAGTTTGCACCTCAACCCCAAGTTCTTCGATACCATGTGAACCTTCGCGACAACTCGAGGGTTTTGGGGTTTAGGGTTTAGGGTTTAGGATGAGAGAAGGATCTAAAGCAGCACAAAGCCAAAAGGAAGTTGTGTTGTCCATGCACGGAACCTCTCTTCCCCACCATGTAGACGTCCATGTACAAGCGCGCGAACTCGAACACAAGTCAATGCCAGGAACACAACACCTCAAAGAAAGTGCCATGTCTGGAACAGAAAGCGCTGAAAACCGTCTGCTGTGTGTAGCTAGCGAATGCTCACCTCCATCCCAACAACTTTAATGTGAACTCCGACACTCCAAGGTCTTACATTCTTGGTAGTAACCATATCAATTTAAAATCAGGGCACCCTTTTTTGAGGATGGTTACTTCATAAGGGAACCTTGAACCGAAAAACAAAAAGGGGGAAAACGGGCACCACTGGGCTACCAAGTACTGTACCTTTTCTGCACTTTCAGGATGGGTTGGGCGGTTGCCAGGGCGAATCGGCTCTGCGCCTCATCGAAGCGCTGCCGCCCCCATCCTCTTGGCTACCAATTAGGGTTTAGGGTTTAGGGTTTAGGGTTTAGGGTTTAGGGTTTAGGGTTTTAGGGTTTAGGGTTTAGGGAACCTCAGCGCTGCAGCATCGCCGAACTTCGTCCATCAGGCTCGCCGCGAAAGGGTTCCTAGTTCATGGTTGGGATCGTATTAAAACTTGAAATGCTTATTCCTTATAGGGTTTAAGTACCCTTAAAAGTAAGTAGAATGTTTCCCAACTATGACAGAAGTTCTCTCCGCTGGAATCGACTTCATCGTCCACTGCCATGAGGAACGTCTGCGCCCCACGGCCATTGGTCGGTCCCTAAGCCCTAAACCCTAAACCCTAAACCCAGGCATCGCATCGGTAAAGTTGCAGGAAATCTGCCGGGGTGGGCCATATCCTAGTTCATGGTTGGGATAGCATTAGAAATTTACATTCTTCATTTCTTACTAGGCTTACGTACCCTTAAAGATGTAAAATGTTGCCCAAGTACAACAAAGTCTCTGTGCTTCGTGAAGAGCAGGATGGTCGTCGACCCAAAGCTCACCTGCGGACAGACAGCCGTGCCAGTGCAGTCGAAGCAGACGTCGCTGCGGGTAAAGGTCTCCAAATCCGGTTGCCTGAGCTGCGGAAACGCCGGGGGCCGGCCATCTGTCCCATGGACCAGCACTCGCATGTAGTGAGTCAACCTTAAACCCTAAACCCTAAAACCTAAACCCTAAGCCCTAAACCATTCTTGAAGATGTGTTCTTTGCCAGCTCGTGGCCCGGGCCCTTTCCTCATACCGAACTTGGAACCCTAGCGAAAAGTATAACTTTAGCTGCTTCTTCGGAATATTTAGAAATTAGAGTGCCAAAAAATATCATTTATTCCCAAGTATCTCCTAAGCTTCGTCGGGCTCTTGTTCGCAGTGCCCGCCCGTAGTGCCAGTCGGAGACTGAGGGTTGCGGCCGAACCTTGCAACGTCGGAGGAAGCCCCGGGACCGGTCTGAAGTGCCTGGCAATCCAGTCGGACTTCATGCCCAGCCGGTCCACCTCTGAAGCATCTTCCATAAACACTATACCTGCCATAGTTTCGTAGTGTTTCCGGTACTATGTACAGTTTGTAAAGAGGGTCCCAGGCAATTTTTTGAAGCTTCCTACAAAAGTGCAAGGCCTCTTCCTTCAAAGCAGGGGGGATTTTACACACACCATAATTCTTTGAAGCTTCCTACACAGTGTAAGGTCTTTTCCTTTAAAAAAAGGAGGATTTTTTGGGCAACATGTGCTCTGAGCCGGCCTCCTCAACCCCCCCAAGGCTTCGGGCGCTGGCGGCCTTGTGCTCAAAGGCTCAGAGCTGTCCGAGTCCGTCCTTGGTAGCCCAGCAATAGCATCTTATGATAAGGCTACCCCCTTTTTGGGGTTTCTTATTACTTGATAAGGGAACCCAGAACCGGAAAAGCAATAGCAGTATACTATATTATATAATTATTAGGGCACCCTTTTTGGGGTTCCCCCAGCTCTACTATAGAAGTCATGTGTCCGCCAAAAAAACTGTCTGTTGTTCACCTCGCGCCATGACCCTTGTAGTGGTGTTTGGCAGCGAAAAACCGTGCCGAAAGCCAGCACCGCGCAGCTGGCGAAGCAAAACCCAGCCTGCTCCATCGTTTGTGGACTCCCCAGTCTCCAGAATCCTTGGGAGATGAACATGAACGCATAATGAGCCTGGAACCCCAGAAAAAAAAAAAAGCTGCTTCTTAGGAATTCAGGTACCCAAAAATTAATAGCTATTTCCAAGTATCCCTAGGGAAACTTGGGCTCCAATACCCTGTACTGCCTTAAGCCCATACTTGGAGTTTCATGGGGACGTATAAGTGGTTGTACGTAGGCTAAAAGTTCTTATATCTCAGTTAAGCTGCTTATTTGCTTACTTATAGGTACCCATGAACAATCCAAGTATGAACGATTAGGTTGGTATTATACACTAGTATACCCCTATATGGATAAAATTACATGTGAAAACTTCAAACAATTTCCAAGTCAGCCTTAGTGATCCCCCGAAAAACTGGGATCTGACCTTAGTGATCCCCCGAAAAACTGGGATCTGAACCAGAACGCTGCTACAGGGTCTATGAACCATAAGCTTAAACCCTAAACCCTAAACACATGCTGCACCTAAACTCTGGACCGGAAGCCCTTCTGCCCTACATGGGGTTCTTTGAAACTCCCGAGCTTCTGTCTCCAAGCCAAAGCCCACGGCCTTGCGACACACGGTCTCCAGTACCACCTCGACTGTTCTTGGAACCTCTCGAGAACAACCCTGCCCTGCCATGGTACTCAGAAAGCCCAATACCCCTTAATGAAGGAATATGCCTTGAAATATCAAGGGATCCTTGATATGATTTAAGGTGTATTCCTGATTCAAGGGGTATTGGGTTCTAAGAGGCGCCTTGGAGCCCCTTGACGACAACGATGAGCCTTGATGATCCTGAAACGAACACATAGCAGCAAAGGCTCTTGGCATACGAGCCTTGATACAAAAGCATAAGTGTACACTTTCAGTTCTATAAGGGATTCTAGTATCCCAAACAGTGTAAAGTGTACTCATTCTACTAAGTATACCACATACCAGTATAAAGAACAATGTGCGGTCTAGCCACACCGTCCACGCCCACGTCAGCGGCTATGAGGCCGATAGGGAGGGACCCGAAGACCTGAACCGCGATGTGGCACTGCCCAGTCCTCTCCAAGGCACTGATGGCGGCGTCGTAGCTGACAACGTGGGGAACCTTGCTTGCATTTGAAGTCAAGAGTCGGCTCCAAGAGCCTTGTTTTGGGGGGGTGGTAGGTCCCAAAGACTCTGAGAACTTTAAGGTAATTTGGCGCGGGCCCGGGGGGCTTTACCGGAACAGACGCGAATGTCGTTCAGACTTTTCACAGGTCTGGCGTCTTCAGCTAGGCCCTTAAAGGGATACCCCTTAGATACTCCTTACATACCCTATCCAACCCAAGGGCCCATACCTCAGAACCCTTTCAAGGAGATAAGGGACCATGTTAGGGGCCCTTGTAAATACCCTCAGATAAACACCAAGCCCTAAAGTCTATGGGCCTCGGCGCGCAGCATGTCAGCCAGGAGGAGCACCGTGAGCTGCCACTGCGCAGCTTGCGCGCAGGAGCTTGTGATGCTACTGTAGCTGACCTTCGGAGATGGGCGAGTAGCTGTAAGCCCCAGAATCAACCCTCTTAAAGCTAGAACCCTAAACCCTAGACCCTAAACCCTCCCTAAACCCTACACCAGGTTGCGGCCCATATCGAGGCTCATGATGGTTCATACAAACACCTTTACATCTTGAGGCCATCCACTCTCAACCCAACATCCTACGCTTTGAGGTTTAGGTCTGGGGTTTAGGGCTAATTATGGTGTGAATCTGTGTAAACAACAAGTTTGCATACATCTCTCTCTCTCTCTCTCCCTCTCTAGTATCGATCCAGTCTGGACCTACTTCTGAGGGCGGCACAAAAACACAATACTGCATCTGTATAGATATATATATATATATGTATGTATGTATGGACCTACTACAAGGAACGTGATGATGGTCATTTGTGGCTTGACTTCATCCCGAGGGACCGCATCAGCGTCCAGCATGGCATGTTGCATGTCGTCGAAGAGTCGCACCGCGACCTGCCACTGCCTGCCTCTTGTGGAAGAAGCGATCGCCGCGTTGTAGCTAGTTGTACTCGGGATGAGTTGGGCTTTGGTCATCTTGGAAAAGAGGCGCAATGCCAGCTGCCAATTCCCTCCGTTCTCGCATGCACTCATGATGGCGTTGTAGCTGATGACATTGGCCGCTACCTGGGCTTTCTCCATGGCCGTGAACAGATACACCGCCCACTGCCAGCTCCCACCTTTCTCACAGGAGCTGACGGCCGCGCTATAGCTGATGATGTCGGCCACCAGATTGGCTTCAGGCATCGTGTGCAGAAGGAACACCGCCACTTGCCACTGGCCACCCTTTTCACACGAACTGATGGTGGCGTTGCAGCTGATCACATCTGGGGAAAGCCGGTTCCTGGGAATCTCTTCAAATATGTGCAATGCTAGCCGCCATTGCCCAGCCTTCTCGCAAGAGCTGATGGCACCGTTGAACGAGATCACATTTGGCGACAGCCACGCCCCAAAGAGACCCCCCAGCACATGCACAGCCAGTCGCCACTGTGAGCTCTGCTCACAAGCACTTATCCTTGGTAGCCCAGACACTTTCAGTTCTGTAAGGGATTATAGTATCCCAACAAGCGTAAAGTGTGCTCGCTCAGCTACTAAGATTACAACAAGGGTGTCCTCCTTTTCAAGGGCTGGTCACCTGGGTTTAGGGTTTAGGGTTTAGGGCTTAGGGTTTAGAAACCCTAAACCCTAAAACCTAAACACTAAAACCCTAAACCTGTCCAAGCGAACCAGGAACCCGAAAAAAGGGGCAACATGGTACCACCCAGGCTAAGGAGCGCTGCGTTGTAGCTGATAACGTTGGCAGCCAGCCTAGCAGGACGAGCTATTCGGCCCTTATACTCCGGGTTTAGGGTTTAGGGTTTAGGGTTTGGGGTTTAGGGTTTAGGGCTTTTTGGTTTATAATCCCCATAATCAATATAAAAGGGACTTTTTAAGGCGGTTTCTAGGGTAGAAGAGCCCGTCCAGCCTAGCATCTGACATTGCAGACAAGAGAAAGGTGGCCAGCTGCCATTGCCGACCCACCCCACAGGTGCTTATGGTGGTGTTGTAGGTGATGGCGCTTGCAGCAATCCTGGCTTTGGGTATCCCCAAAACCCTAAACCCTAAACCCTAAATCCTAAACCCTAAACAATCCTGGATGTGTTCATGGAGCCGAAGAGGTGGATCGCCAGCTGCCAATGCCCCACTTTCGCACAGGCGCTAATGGCGGCGTTGCTAGCGATGACATCCACCGCAAGCCTGGCATTGCCTAGGATGGTAGGGTTTCGGGTTTCGGGTTTCGGGTTTCGGGTTTCGGGTTTCGGGTTTCGGGTTTCGGGTTTCGGGTTTCGGGTTTCGGGTTTAGGGTTTAGGGTTTAGGGGTTGGGGGTTAGGGCTTCGGGTTCCTAAACAGGCTCCTCTTAAAACCCAACAAGGGAAGATGTAAAATATCCCAACATCCCAAGGTCCCACCTGAACTTCAGGACCTAGCTGCACAGCGCGTAGAAGAGATGCAGCGCCCATTGCCATTCTTGGCTCTTCTGGCAGGAGCTGATGGCAGCACTGTAGCCTAGGCTGGCCTTTGAAACTCTCTGAAAAATGTATTCGTAAGCGCTAGACCCAGGAGTAACCTAGAATTAAAAAAGGGCGCCCTTTTAGGCTGATTAGAAGGGAACCCCAACCCTAAACAAGGAAATAAGGGCCTACGAACATATTCCTCTTGAACCCTCTTAACCCCAACAAGGGCAAATTACTAAAACAACAGATTCCAAAGGTCCTACCCCGTAGCTGATCACCCCAGCATCCAGCTTGGACTTGGGCATCTTTTCCAGGAAATAAAGCGCCCACTGCCACTGCCCAGCCTGTCCGAAAGATAACTTCGAGGGCCTGCTGAAGGGGTTCTCAACCCTATTTATTAAGGGCCTTTCTAAGGGGGTGCAAAAATTCCGATAAACCCTCGAACGGGCCGTTGTAAGGGGTTATAAACCCTATGAAATGCCTTTTGAAGTGGTTGTAGGGTGCCCCCAGCCTTTGCGAAGGAACTGAGAGTGGCATTGTATGTAACGACCTCCGGAGCCACGCGAGCTCCAGCCATGGAGTAGAAGAGGTGCAAAGACTGCTCCCAACGCCCGGCCTTCTCCTTACTGTTGCTTAGGCAGGGAATGAGGGGAATGAGAGCCCTGTATATGCTCTTTAAGGGATTCTACACTAGGGCCCTGAAGGGATTCTGTCTAGGGTACCTCATTCCCCCATTCCCTACTTACCAACAGCAAGTCTCGCAAGCGCTGATCGTTGCGTTGTAGCTTATGACGTCAGGCGCGCGCCTGACTTCCGATATGCTGTGGAAGAGGTTCACCGCCAGTTGCCACTGAGAGCCTTTCTCGCAGGAGCTGATGGCAGCGTTGTAGCTGACAATACTGGGAGAGAGCGCAGCTTTAGGCAGGCCACGGAATAGACGCAATGCCAGTTGCCAGTGCTGGGCCTTTGTGCAGGCGCTGATGGCCGTGTTATACTCCGAGATGAGCCTGAAGCTGCCTTCCTTTTCAAGCACCTCCCGTATCACCCCAACCAGATCCGCTCGACCCAGCTGCGGCAACTCCCGCAAGACTTGGGAAGCAATCCTGCTTGCAGGTTCTGGGTCCTCATTAACCCAAAATCAGGCTCAGTGTTGTTGTAACCCACTTATGAGTCCCTTAAGTACCCTAATAGGGTTCTAATTGCGTTACTAAGTACCATGAACCTCCAAGTGGGGATGCGCCTCACTTCGGAAAGCATTGGTGTCAGCAAGTCTTCCACGCTCTTCAGGTCCGGGGGCGGTCCCCTCCTTTCCTCGCATGCCCAACAAGCGTGTATATACAAGGGAGCCGAACCCCGAAACCGTACATCCCTAAACTGTATGGGGTTTTGGGTTTACGGCTATCCTAAACCCCCCGCAAAAAAATAATAAAAGAAAAAATAAAAAATGCAGGGATGAGGGTCGCACTGGGCATCCGAAACCCTGTAAACCCTAAACCCTAAGCGTCCCAGTCTCCAACTCCACGAGGTTGGTTAGCCCAATGGCCATGCTGCCCGGAACACGACAAGCCCAGGCGCATGGCGAGGGGATTAGGTTTAGGGTTTAGGATTCGGGTTTAGGGCTTGGGGTTTGGGGTTTAGGGTTTGGGTTTTGCCTAGAAAATTCACAAAAACAACCTACAGCTAAGGTAGAAGAAGGGTACCCTACTCTGGGAACTGCCCATTAGAGCATGCCTTGGACCCTGGGGTTTGGGGGTTTCGGGGGTTTGCACGGCTTTAGGGTTTTAGGGCGTTAGGAATTTGTTAGGAATCTTGATAGGGCTTAGGGCTTTAGGGCTTTGAAGGGCTTTAGGGCTTTAGGAACTTTAGGGCTTTAGGGCTTTAGGGCTTTAGGGCTTTAGGGCTTTAGGAACTTTAGGGCTTTAGGGCTTTAGGGCTTTGGCTTCAAGGCTTCAAGGGCTTAGGGCTATAAGGCTGCGGGTGGCCACCCCTGAGCGAAGCGGCCTTCAGCAGATGGATGGGTATCTGAGATTGCTCGCGGAACCCCCAACACTGGTTTAGGGTTCAGGGTTTAGGGTTTAGGGTTTAGGGTGTAGGGGGTAGGGTTGAGGGTTGAGGGTTTAGTAAGGGTAGCCCAAATAACCTACCTTTGTCAAGGGGATATGTAAGGAAGTCATCATCGGGAAGCCCTAAAATGGTAGGTTTTTCTGGGCTACAGGTGCAGCCTAAGGTATAAGGAAAAAACCCTACAAGGGACCCTTAATCTTATTCCCCTATGTCACCTCTAAATATATATTTATATGTATAAAAGGAATATTTACATACCTTATCTAGCCCCTGTATGCCTACGTAGCCCCAAAATAACACCCAAATAACCCTATAAGGACCCTTTTGAGTTTGGGTTTAGGCTTCTATGTTTAGGAGGAGTCTGGCACGCTCGTAAACCTCTCAATGGCTTGCAGTCAGAGAGTGTAAGCCGCATAAACCCCCAACCCTCGCTTTTCGCGGCACTCAGATCCTGTACGCAGGTGAGGTAGGGTTTAGGGCTTAGGGCCTGGCGTTCATGACTCAGGAAGTTTAGTGTTAAAAATCCCTAAGCCACCCTATAGTTCAGGGCTTTCGGGGTGGATTCGCCCCAATGTCGCTCGGCATGCCACGCAAAGGCAGAAGGAGTGGTCGTCGCCCACAGGCCTGATCAGGCAGAAGGGTTTAGAGTTTAGGGCTAGGGTTCAAAGTTTGGGGTTTTAGGGTTAGGGTTTAGGGTTTGGGGTTTGGGGTTTAGGGTTCCGGGTTGAAAAAGGGGTTTAGGGCTTGCGGTTTAAGGGTGTTTAGGTTCGAGGAATCGGGTTTTTGGATGCAAAATCGGTGAATGTGATGACGTGAGCCAAGACGTTCTTTCGGATTGGGGGGGGGGGAGGGAGGGTGACCCTTTAAAGGGATGGTTTAGGAATAGGGGGTTGAGGCTTGACTCCTTCTTAGGTTACCTTAACTTACTAGGTCGTACCCAGGAAAACCGGGAATTTTCCTAAATTTTAGTCCCTTAAGAGACCCTAAGTCCCTATTTCCCTACAAAATCCCAAAGACCCAAACCCTAAGCCCCAGCCTGAATCCTAAACCCTAAACCCCCAAACCCTGAACCCTGAGGCTCACCGCTTCAAAGCTGCAAACTCAATGCAGAGGTCCCTGAACCCTAAAACTGAACCCCCTGAAAATACCAAAATCCCGAACACCTTCAAGCCCAGAACGCCCCTAACCCCCAAACCCTCAAAACCTCCCCACAAAAAAAAAACCCTTAATTCCTGAACCCTCTAAACTCCCAGCATCCACACACGTTTTTGTTTCTTCCATTTGCTGGGTAGATGCAAAAGGTTTTGTTGGCAGAACGCCTCCGCGGGCCCAGCAAAGGCTACCCAGGCTAAGGTTTGGATGTAAGGTTGAGAGAATCTTAGCTTTGGAGTAGACCCTGGGAAAAAAGTATATACTCTTTAGGTATAATTAGCTATAACAGGAGCCCAAGACCAAAAAAAATATTAAAGTATAGTACTCCAAACACCCAGGAATCTTGGGGTATAGACGGTATAGACGGTATACAGTTTCAGAGGTTCTGGAGTTCGGGGGTTCAGGGTTTTGGGCTAGGGCCAGACATGCCCCAGCTAAACCGGAAGCCCTAACGAAGGCCGCCCAGATATCCCAAAAACCCTAAACCCTGAATAGACCCGAAGCCTTAAACCCAAAACCCTAAACCCCAAAGTAAACCCTACAACCCCTAAGCCTAACCTACTAGTTGCTTAAGAACACCAAAAATGTTTTGCAACATGTTCTTCCTTGTAGAGGCAGTACAGGGATCAGTTGCTCTTTTATTTGGGGGGGTTCTTAAGCAAATAACCTAAGCCCTAGCCCAAAACCCCAAAACCCTAAACCCTACCTAAAACCCGAAAATCCTAAAACCCTAAAACCTGAAACCTGAAAACCTAAACCCTAAACCCGAAACCCGAAACCCTAAACCCTAAACACATCATCAGTTGCAGTCACATGGATGCCCGGGAGCACGCGCTGCAGAGGATTGGACTGGGGCGCCGCGGCACCCACACCCAAACTGGCCACCCCCTACTTTTTGAGGGTTTAGGGTTTAGGGTTTAGGGTTTTAGGGCTTGGAAGGAAGCAGAAGGTTCTACATGACGTGCAGGGAGTTGGGTATGGATACCAGAGCACCCGCTGGTGATTTCACCAGTCGCAGCTCGAATTAGTAGCACAGACTCCAAGCATCATCATGCACTATATTCGGGCAGTAAATAGGGTTTGGGGTTTAGGGTTTCGGGTTTCAGGATGGGACAAGGGTCTAGAGCGTGGGACACACAACCTGAACCATTCCTGCGTAGCCTAGACTTACTGTAGAGTACGGGAGCGGGGGCTGAAAGGCGGTCACAGAATGCTTGGGGCGTAGGGTGCACTTGGAGTTTGATGGGTACTTATGTGGGGTTGGGAATCAGGGTTTAGGGTTAAACCCTACCCAAAGGCTCCAATACACCTTCACTAAGGAATATTCCTCAATTCAGGGGTATTGGAGTCTCTGGGTAAGGCTACAACCGAAAGAGCTCGAAACCCTGAACTTTACCCGGTCACCCACTGCAGGACGATGCCTGGAATCAACGGCCGATTCATAATCCTAAGGGAAAATGGTATTGGCGGCGGAAGGCAACCTCTGTTCCAGCTCGCAAAACTTTCAACTGCCCAGGGGGGGGGGGGGGGGGGGGCCTGGGGCTGCTTCGAGGCACCTGGGACTCATGCGGATTTTTCGGGGTGTTGAACCCGAACGCCTTTCTAGTATAGGGGCCTTACAAATTAGAATAGCTCTTTTTATATTTATTTTATTTATTTTTTTTTTTTTGGGGGGGGTTGTTCTGGTATATTTATAAAGAAACCAGAATGAATGCAATTAGTCATTATTCCGACCCTTATAGTACCTGCTTTAATGTCTGGGATGATTGTTGGCAGGGTCCAGCCTATCGTGCTTGGAAAACCCGCCAGCTTCTTCTGGCTATTCCCCGACCCCGTCCTCTTGCGAAAACGTGTATCTTGGGTCGATTACACCCTGCATGCAGTAATTGTGGCTTTAACAGGGTGTAGGGTTTACGGGGATTGCGGGTTAAGTTACAAATAGGTCTTCAGCACAACTATTGTCAACCGCCAGATCCTTGCCCTAAACCCTTAAATTGATCCTGAACGCAATAGAGGCTTAAGGACGAACGGCTAAGGCTGAGTTCCTACACACACACACGAAGATGTCGAGTCGTTTCGCGTTTAGGGTATGGGGTTTAGGGTTTAAGGTTTAATTAGGGTTTAGGATTTAGGGTTTAGGGTTAGGGTTGCAAGAGTTTAGGGTTTGGGTTTTGGGGGGTTTAGGCTGCTACGCACGCCTGCTAAGTGCGAAGCTCAGGTTTGACCTGACCGCTGGGAACGCCCAGGTTGCTGATGATGGGAAATACAGAAACACCCTGCTACATGGGAGTTTACGAAAATACGGGACCCCTTATCATAACCGCCCAAATAGTTAGTTAGGATCCCCTAACCCCCAAGCCCTAAAAGCCTGAACACAAAACCCTTAACCCCTGAACCCCTAAACCCTAAACCCTAAACCCTAAACCCTAAACCCTAAACCCTAAACCCTAAACCCCTAAACCCTAAACCCTAAACCCTACAGTCGGCAACCAGGGAGCTGAGCAAAAAAACTGGCCTTGAAACAGGCTCGAGTGGCCAGCGCGGCACTTCGGAGAAGGAGTCTCGTGGTCCGAGAGTATCCTATGGGTTTAGGGTTTAGGGTTTAGGGTCTGGGGTTTAGGGTTTAGGGTTTAGGGGTGATTTAGGGTTTAGGGTTTAGGGTTTAGGGTTTAGGGTTTAGGGTTTAGGGTTTAGGGTTTAGGGTTTAGGGTCAGGGATCTTGGGGGTGGTGGGTCATCCCCAAACCTCCAAAGGTCTAAGACCGGACTTTCTGTAATTTCTGGAAGGTTGAGGTTACTTCATGACCAGGTCAGAGTCGTCAGGTTCCCCTAAACCCTAAACCCTAAACGCTAAACCCTATACCGTAAACCCTAAACCCTAAACCCCAAAACCCTAAACCCTAAAAGCCCTAAACCCTAGATCGGATTCAGGGCTTAAGTTCTTATAGGTTTCAGGGCTACCCTTATTAATAAACCCTAAACCCTAAACCCTAAACCCTGAACCCTGAACCCTGAACCCTACACCCTTTATAGGCTTACAGAGAGGGCGCGCGCAGCTTGACACCTTGCCTCCCACGCACTTTTGCGTGGGAGCGGCGCGAAGACTCTCCACTCCAGTCGGCGTAAAGGGGGCTTTGGGTTCAGGGTTCAGGGTTCAGGGTTCAGGGTTCAGGGTTTAGGGTTTAGGGTTTAGGGTTTAGGGTTTGGTGTTTAGGGTTTAGGGTTTAGGGTTTGGGGTTTAGGGTTTAGGGTTTAGGGCTTCGGGTTTAGGGCTTAGGGTTCAGGGTTCAGGGTTTAGGGAAAAGGATTTAGGGTTTAGGTGTAGGGTTGT